ATGTCTATTTTGTTTTTCCTTTGAGGATTTTCGTATCTGCTCACGTTTCAATAAAGTAAATTACGGCGCCTGGTAAGTTTACAAACCTTTGTTTGGTTCTTCTGTTGCTACTTGCCGGCTCGCTTGTTCCGAAATTTCACTTTCAATTACCGGAAAAAAGCTAAAAGGAAGTCCCGGAAAAGGTCGAACATAGTACAATTTGGCAGATGGTGTGACAGCTTTAGCTCAGCTCTATGCTCTATACTCTCATAGAGCACGCTCTTTCAACCAATGACAGTGCGCGTTACATCCGGACTTTATTATAATATTTTTTATAATTTGCAACGGTCGATCCCGGCAAGACGCAAGTGATCTCGAGAAATGTTTCATAAATTCCGCACTCCGCAAATCGTAACATTTCATCCCCAAAATCCGCTTGATGACAGTCAGATAAACAAAGTTCACTTATCTTCGTTTTTCTGTGTTGTCTCGAGTGATTTTGCGGGGTTTTAGGACGGTTAATTCCCCACTTTGCACTAATGCCCCTGCAAAGGCAAAGAAAAAACACAAGGCGTGCAACTCCCAGGACCGTCTGGGCCGAAAGCCTCCAGAACTTCGCCGAATTTCTTCCGCTTCCAAATGTTACCCGCCTCCCAGCTTTGGGCGCGTTAAAAGTCGATTAACGCGTAAGAGCCAAGACAAAAATCAGTGCAATTGCCTGCCTCTAACCACCTCAAAAGTCTGCTCGATTTCCGACACTCGCTCATCATCTGCCGTCGACACATGATGTGGACCGAAGAAGTCGATCATAAGCCTTCGATTAACCGTATAACGAGTGTCTCTGTATGGGCGGTCTTTACCACGTAAATAAATGTGTTTAGATAATCGAGGTAACCATTGAACCTCTTGTATCGCATCACTAGTAACGTGTCTTGTCCTTGCCCAACTCCAAGAGCGTGGAGTGACAAAGACGCGAGACACGAGTATTCCGTTCAACCATTTCATAAGAGTGACGTGAGTCTTTTCAATTGAGTGAAAAAGTCAAAAACCCATTCTTTACCACACGAGCGTAACCACTGACCACTCACAAATTACAGTAGGCTTCTCCCTTGGCGCGGAAATTGAACTAGTCTCGAGTATACAAAGTTAAAGTGAGTTCCTTTAGATCTCCCTAACTTGAATCGCGTTTGAAACAATTACAAGTACAGCAAGAAGTCGTTCGTTAGCGAGACGTTCATTATGTCTCAGTACTGCTTTTTGAATAGCAAAGCTGGAAAAAAAAAACTGGGGTTCATCGCGTGGCTTAAGTGGTTTGGTACGGCTGTCTGAATGCAACGATGAAGTAAAACATCATCTGATAAGCTGCCACCCGTCTTAAGAGCTCCTGAGAGAAAACGAGCTAATCTTGGCAAGGACTGGCCTGTTTCACCTCGCTCAGGAGGATAAAAAAAAATGTCGATTTGCTATAAGCATCGCCTCACATTGGAGAAGTTTTGGAGAAGTGCAAAGGTAACATGTCAGTATCCTGATCATGATGGTGTCAGGAAGCGTATTCAAAAGCTGTTTGGAGTAATTATTCCAGTTGGATAAGGTATTCTAGTAGGAAGAGTGGCTAACCAAAGCCCAAATACAAGGATTTTTCTCCCGTTTGTCCTCCTCGAGAAGGAGATGGGAAGGTCCGTCTCCGAGCACCGCGGTTGACAATAAATCTGACGAGGAATTTATTGACGAGGAAGAAGTGAGTCACATGACCACCGTCAACTCAGTTGTAACAGAAATTGGCCTAACGCATAGCATTTTCTGTTGTCTATTTTTCTCTCGTGACATATCTGCTCTAAAGGAAAAGAGACTCTTTATTAGATTAAGGGTACTTAAGTACACATCACGTTGAAAAATATAGATCCATGTTTAAGTGCTTTTAATTGCAGATGGAAATACATACAATGTTCTTTGGTTGATAATTAACAATGTTTTTTGTAGATGATCAAATCACCTGACAACGCAATAATTCGTGGATGGGGACAGGGGGGGCGGGAGAGGGCTGGAAGCGGGAGAACAGGGGCGGGAAGTGGGATCTATATGAAGGCGTGAAGCGGGAGCAGAAATAAAGAAGGCGATAGTTTGTTGTTTACCATTGGGTATTATTCAGTCAAAACACTTATCTAGCAAAGTTTTGAAATTTCCATTCAGCATCCATCAATGCTTAACAGAAAATTTTGGAAGCAAGAAAACGTAAATTTGTACTCGGGCTGGAAAAACAGCATTACTTCCTGTGAATTTGGTAATCCCTTTATTTCATAACGTCACAGGTCGTGAGATAGCATGACACATGACATACGTACACTTATATATCAGTGTTTGGTAAGCTGTCGAAAATCTCCGGCAAAGAAAGCGATTCAGGGTCATCCAGGTCAAAACGTCAAAGACTATATTAACCGGCCTCAGTATTTTTCGGTGTGGCAACGAAAACTCTGTTCATGGAAGACCTTCTTGGAAGCTCGCTTCGTACGACTGCACATCCCAAATTACTGAAGATTTTGCCTTATGGTGTAAACTTGCTTCAAAGGAATGCGGCTTCAATGAGCGCACCGGAGAGTGCGGAGCATAAGAGAAGCAAACTCTAAACGTTACTCTTAACCAAGGCCAGATAATGAACAAGAATGTTAAGTTTTGGCACAGTTTGAAAGTTAAACCCGGGTTTTTGATCCTCTTGATTAACCTGAAGACGGAAGCAACACAATGAAGGAAGGGAGGCAAAGGGGCACAAACGTACGGGAGGCGGGAGAACGTAGTACGGGAAGCGGGAGACTCTAAACCCCCCTGTCCCCCCCCCCCCCTACTTATTAATGCGTACGATTCACAATTATTAGCGGTCAGTTTCCCTCCCTTATTTGATTAAAAGTAATAAAAGTAAACAATGCATGTCGGTTTTCAATTCCTGATGGATACTACTGGGCTTCACTTTAACTGAGAAATTTGTAATCGCTTACCTCAGCTCTCTGTGTCCCATGCTGAAAGAAACACAAGAAGAAAGTTGATGATGGTGAGTATTGGCTGAGACAAGAAGGACTAGAGAAGAATCTATGGTCCCCAGAAATGCCACTTTTAGACACGAGACAACTAAGGTAAATTGAATTAAGTGGTATTTGTTTTATTGAAAACTATCGTTCAGATTATAAGATACGCGAATTACTCTTCCCACCGATTTCTTCTTCACATTCTGTTAATCAAAATTTTCAGTAATTATAACAGCTTTCTTGTTGATCGTCTTAATAGTTACAGTTTTCAGGATTCAAGGGGAGCAAACTTAAAGAGAGAACAATTTTCTGCGTAGTTAGGTAAGGCAACGTGCCGGCTTTATTCTACTTCCGGCGTGATAACGATGATGATGACAACAATGGGTAAAAAGCACCGTCTGCTAATAATGACGATTATCAAAGTTATAAACAAACTTCAGTTATATAACGATGATGATGACAACAATGGGTAAAAAGCACCGTCCGCTAATAATGACGATTATCAAAGATATAAACAAACTTCAGTTATATAACGATGATGATGACAACAATAGGTAAAAAGCACCGTCCGCTAATAATGACGAGTATCAAAGTTATAAACAAATTTCAGTTATATAACGATGATGATGACCACAATGGGTAAAAAGCACCGTCCGCTAATAATGACGATTATCAAAGATATA